AAAAGAACAAGACTCGGTTTCACTAAAGCATTTGCTATCCTTGTGTTCATTGACTGGCATATGGAAAGTACAACTCATGACTTGTTAAGTGATGGTCAGCAGAGTAGGTCAAAAGATTTTTCTGTGTGTCTACAAAAAGCTGACGTCTGAAACCATTGTATTAGTTCCAAAGGCAGATGAAAACTCCAAATCCTCAATGGTGTCAGTATTGCATGAGTTAAGTCTTTCAGCTTGATAACCTCTAAAGATTTGGTTTTTAATGTCTGAAAAATTGTTCTGATGATTCTGAAAGAAAATATTAATGAAAATACGGAATATAAAAATAAATAGTTTATTAATACTGTAAAAGATGGACATTTATAACACCTGAACTAGAAATTCTTACTTTATCGGTTTTGCTAAAACCAGAAAAGTCAAAGGGAGTTCTCCAGCACTCCAAGTCTTAATTTCTTTTTCCTGAAATTAAATCATTTCCCTGTCTACAGAATTGCAGTTTTGATGGCAAAATGATCTGAAGAAAAAAGAAAAAAAAGATTTATGACTAACTTTTATGATGCTAAACAGGACAGATGAGGTTTAAAAGATCAACGTTCTCATTGTTGACTTAGATACCACATTGGAATCAGTTGTGATTAATGTGGAAATTAGAAACGTGGGAAGAGTATAATAAAATGAGATTCAATGTAAAACTAACATTTCGTGGGAAATATTATTCAGCAGATTCTCATCCAGTAGATCAAAAGAATGTAAGAAATAATAAACCTAAAAAAATGACCTACTAATAAACATTACATGGTTAGATTGGCTAGGGATAGATTATTATCTTTGTTATGGATATAAAAAGACGAGTGTAATTTCAAGCTGCAGTATCATGTAGCAACCTTCTGTTATGAAACAGGAAATTAATGGTTTTTTTCTTCTGTAATTTGGATTTGTAAGAGTAGAAAACATTAACAGAAAAGGGGGGCTTGGAGTTGGTGCTTTGAGATTACAACTACAAGTAAGTGACATTAAGCTGTTGAGTCGTCTGCCAAGCAGTGATGGGGCAGCTGCTTTTGTTCCCGTTTCAATAAGCCCACAAAATGTTCCCATTTTTTAAGGTGCTACGTAAGTTGGTCTGAGCAATGTTTTCATCTCCAATGCCTGCAATGTAATAAATCGCTCTTCTTTTTCTCTAGTATCATCTGAACCGTGTATTTGTTTCCTGAAACGGGTGTTTACTTTCGGTAAATAAGTAAATTGCAGTGTAATAATTTAATCCTATTCATATGGATATGAAGTTAAATTTTTATTCTTTACTAGCTCCAACCATGTGCATGTGGAGTACTTCCCCCATACATGTACATTTCTCAATTTCTGCAGTAAAGGAAGTAAGGAAAAATCTTACTGTTAAGAAAGACTGAAAAATTGGGACAGGCGGTAGATTCTGATTTTTATTGGATGTTTTAGTCTAAACATGAGAGTACACATGCTAGTCATAAAATTGTCAGGTTAAGTTTTAGTTCTAGATTTTTTTATATATGTTCAGTAAACAGATTCTCTACAGAGCTTATATGCAAGAGGATTTCATGATCAGAATAAATTAAAAAATTACTGTTTCATCAAATAGCAGAAATAGACCGGCCTTGCACCATAATGTTGTTTGTTGGTGTTTTGTTTTATTTTTACTGTAGTAGAAAATTTGAAGTTTTCTTTAGAATATGCAAGTTTGATCACCTTTGACATCTCAAGCTGGTTATCAGAATGTGTGTTCGGTGTTAGTTGAGTTACTTGAGGAACATTTTGTCAACTGGAAAAAAAAAAAACTCTCAGCATGTTTTAAAATGAAATCAGGAATTCCACATATAGGTATGTTTTGATATGACATGAAAAAATAAGTCTTCTTGTAAAGATACGGAGAGACTAAGTCAATTTGGTAGTGGACTTGAAGCTACGACGGTTATTTAAATGTAGGCAAAAAAAAAAAAAAAGGAAAAAGGAAAAGAAAAAGCAAACTTCTTTAGAGCTGATAAAATGCCAAAGCCAAACAGATGACAAACATCTCAGTCCATTGTTCCAAAGAGGCTTCAGTGTGGTGTCAGCACTTGCAAATGCAAAATACTAATTTGACCATGCAGATCGTATAAGAACTATTTAACCCACTGGTTAAAACGCACACTTTTGATTATTACCTGTGAATGTCTACTTGTGTATATCCAATCAAGCACAGGCAAAGCTGCATGCAACACTACAGGTGTATTTTTTTAAATGGATGTTCTTTTATACCTGAGTATATTGATACAGTGCTGTGTTGACCATGTGATGCAAATGGCAGAAAGAGTGAAGATACTTACTGGTCTTTAGTAGTATATTTTCAACAAGTAAAGAAAATGTTTCTAATGACTAGATTAAGTATAAGAGTATAAGAACCTGACTTGGTTTGACTGCCAAGTCATAAAAAGGGAATTTACCTTCTTATGGCTTTTATCCTCTGTTCGAGCACTTTGGGAGATACTTTGTGAGACCAAGCCAAGATCGGTTTGTTAAGTCAAAATGATTTGTTCATTTGAAGTCTCTTAGAAGGGGAGATAATAGAAAAAGGTCCATCAGCAAAATTGAAGCTGAAAGCCAAGCGAAATCAATTGCCTGTGTATTGATCTCGGGAGCGCAGGGAATGCAGTTGTCCCTGGGCCTGTCAGGCAGCAGCCAATTTGCAAACTTTAGCGCTCGGTTTCTTTTTGTTTGCTGCCCTCTGTGGTTCAAGCTGTAAATAAAAGTAGGACTTGGGTGCGGGGAGCTTACATGCTTTCTTACGCTCTCATTTTATTTGCACGCTACTACAGGGTGAGAACCCCAACACTTATAAACTACATAAAATACACTATTTCTAGCATTTTTTTTTTACAAGTGGGAATGCAGGGGGTTTTAAACTTTCAACTAATTGCAAGAGCGAAGACAAAAGAGGAGCCAGCTACCATTCTCATTGTTCTCCCCTTGGC